TTACACTTTTGGTATCTATGCAGGATTCCTAACCCACAATCCACCCTTTAATACAAGAGAGAAACAAAGATGGTGATAGGAAGGATGAAGCTAAAGGGAAAGAATAAAAGGGGGGTGGTTATAAGGAAGGAGGGGTAGGATTTTTCCCTGGACCATGATTTCCATTCGCCAGTGATCCATCTTGTTTGGGGTGGTGGTGAAACTGACGAAGTCTTGACAGTTGAGTACGGGAAGGGGATGCTGTAAGGCCGTGGATGTTCACTGTGGAGCGTCTGGGGCCATCAGCTCTAACGGCACCAGCCCTCAAGAGTAAAACTTTACAGGAACATGCTCCACATAAAGTCGACTGCATGGAACAAGCCTGAATCTTGAAGATTTCTGTCATCTGGGTTGTTGCGCTGTGTAGTCTGGTAAACATCGACCAGACTACACAGAGTAACAACCCAGAAGACAGAAATCTTCATACTCACCGCTGTGAAAACATCAAATCTTACAGGCCTGAATCTTGTTTCCAAGCTTCGAATTTAGCTCAGAAAATATGCAGTGACCACCTCCAGCTAAACGAAATGCCAATGTAATCGATCCAGCGTCAGTTTAATCCAATTAGTTGCGTTATTTTCCTTTATTTTCCTCGTTTAAGCGATCATTTTACAAAATCTGAGACTCTGAGGTTCTTATGGCGGTGAAGATGAAGAACGTGTGTCCCTGGGTAATGGTGCAGTGAAGTCTTGGGGTCTGAGTATTTCCCATTCACCTTTGGAATATTTTCAGCCTGTACATGTCTATGAACTGGGCTGAAAAATTTGTAGATGGACGAATCATCATCAAGAATCTTTCACTGGCAGTATTGAATCTTTGGCTTCTGTTTCCAGATAGCTTGCTAAAGTTTTAGCGCTTTTATAAACTAGGCAAGAAAACGTTCATAAATTATTTGCACCTGAAAAGAAATTCAAGACATATTTATCGGTCTGTAAGATAACATCCAGACCGGTTCTGGGGCCCTAATAGATCATCCAGTAGCTACAGCATTCTTCCTTTGGGGATAAGCTGTTTGTGAGTGAAAATAATGCACTCC